CTAGCCCTTTATAGAAAATGATTAGCGTCACTGGCCTCGCCTGGGAGGTAACCCATCTCTCCCTGCTTCTGCTCCCAGCTCAACTCTAGAGAAGCCCCTTTCCCCCAGTTCCTAATTCACCGCAGAGACCTGGGCTGTACTTTCATGCTGGTATTGGGAGGATAGTCAGGAAAGAACACCACAAAGACTCTAGAGCCAATCTGTCTGGCTAACTTGGGGCTCCAACACTTAGTAATTAGCTGAGTGATTTGGGCAAGTGACTTAACCTGTGTATAATAGACGTAATAGTGCTTACTTGTGCCGGCAACTATGCCTGTGTAAGAAACCATCTCAAAATGTAATGGTGTCCAACAACCATTTATTAGGCTCATAGATTGATGAGTCAGGAATTTGGATGGAGCACACCACAGCAGGGATGGTTTATCTCTGCTCCCCATGAAGGGGGCCTCAGCTGGAAGGCTCAGACTAGGAGCTGGAATCATCTGGGGGCTCACTCACCCCACCCCTGGTGATTGACATTGACTGAGACCATGGCTGGGGCTGTCAGCCCTCTTACACATGGCCTCTTCGTGTGGCCCGGGCTTCCTTATGACACACATCGAGAGAGAGAAAGCAGAGGCCGATTCGCCTTTTGTGACCTATCCTCAGAGGTCACTTTCTAGTAGATTCTACCAGTCAAGGCAATCATAAAATTCTTCCCAGGCTCAAGAAGAGGGGAAGCACACTGTGTCTCCAAGGGCACAGCAAGTCTCTGGCAGTCTGTGAGACCAGAAATACTACTGTGGCCACTTTTAGGAAATAAAATGTGCCACGCTTCCTCAGAATGAGGGTTAACTCACTAAATGAGCTAATGCAATAAAGTACTACAACAGTTGGTAGGTACGTGCTTGATGTTGTGATTTATCCACTGCACAGGCTTAGAGCCATATGGAACTGCCTCCCTGTGGCCGGCTTTTCCCCCCCATGGGGACCCACTCCAAGAATCTGTTATCTCAGACTCAAGACCAAACTAAGGCAACCCCAAGGCAGGAGGAATCGAGGAGCAGGCTCTGAGGCTTCAACAAGGTGTTCACACAGTGGTCTGACACCAGCAGGCCCAGGGTTAGTTCCTTTTTCTATTTTCCTTGTAAAGGATTTAAGAAGCTTTGAGGCCTTATTTAACTAAGATCATATTCTTGCATAGGTGCAACTGTGCTTTTACAGCTAATGATCTGCAAGAAAATGTTAAAACTATTGAAAACAGTGGTAGGATTGAGATGTTTCTAATATTTCATTTTTTAATGGAAATATATCTATCAAAACTATAAAGTAAATTTTCTACAGTATTAAGATGAAAAAAATCTTTTAAATTGAAGCATGGTTGATTTACAATATTAGTGTCAGGTGTACAGCAAAGTGATTCAATTATATATATATATATATGTACCTTCTCATATACATGTTTCAGATTCTTTTCCATTATAGGTTATTACAAATATTGAATATAGTTCCCTGTACTATACAGTAAATCCTTGTTATTTATTTTCTATATAGTGGTGTATATCTGTTAATACCTAATTTATCCCTTCCCCTCCCCCCTTTTCCTTTGGTAACCCTGTCTGTTTTCTATGTCTGTGAGTCTTTCTGTTTTGTAAATAAATTCATTTGTATTATTTTAAAGATTCCACATATAAGTGATATCACACCATGTTTATCTTTCTGTCTGACTTACTTCACTCAGTATGATAATCTCTAGGTCCATCCATGTTGCTGCAAATATCACTATTTCATTAAGAAAAACAAACAACTCTTAAAGGGCACATCATCCACTAAGGTGTGTGAATGAGGTTGAAAAGGCAGGACAAGATCAGCTAAGAATCTTTTAGTTTCTGCTGAAGGGATTGGATTATCTGTTGGTAACAGTGCTGTGTGGATTAGAAACCACATGCCTCCTTAGCACTGAGTCATCAATATCAGAAAAGTCCAGGAAAGCAGGCTTGGCCTGTATGTAGCTGCTAAGTCATGTGCACATGTCCCAGTGGCTACAGTTTCTTCAACTACTTTAGTTGCAGAAAAGGCTCACTTTATACCATGTGCCTAGCACATTATGTAGGTCTCACAGGCAGTTTGTTATCTAGCGAGTTGCTGCAGTCATGGTTGACCTGCAGGACTGAGTATCTCTACTGTCAAACTTTTGGGTGGTATCTAAAAATCACACCAGATCAGAGTCACTAAAGTTAAAAATCTGAAGCCCAAGCTCATACCCTCAAAAACTGGCAGTTTGTGGTTTACGGCATACCTTAATCTTGCAGTGCACCCTGGGTAATCACTATCAGCTAAGTCCCAAGCATTTCTGGTGTCACTTAGCTTGGCTGGGTGAGGCTGCACCATGAATGGACATGCCTGGCATCAAATCATGCCGGGTTTAAGCAATTCAAGCACTTACGAATACAAGATTATCATTAAGAGTCACCCAATATTAATTAATGACATTTCCTCAGCTTTCTAGAGACTTTTAAAAATTTATTTTATTGAAGTATTTACAATATTGTGTTAATTTCTGCTGTACAGCAAAGTGATTCAGTTATACATATATATATTAATACATTATTCTTCATATTCTTTTTCATTCTGGTTTATCACAGGATATTGAAGATAATTCCCTTGTTTATCCATTCTATATAAATAGCTTGCATCTGCTAACCCCAAACTCCCAGTGCACCTCCCTCCCCCTTGGAAACCACAAGTCTGTTCTCTATGTCTGTGAGTCTGTTTCTGTTTTGTAGATAAGTTCCTTTGTGTCATATTTTAGATTCCACATGTAAGTTATATCATATGGTATTTGTCTTTCTGATTTCATTTAGTATGATAATCTCCAGGTGCATCCATGTTGCTGGAAATGGCATTATTTCATTCTTTTTTTATGACTAATATTCCATTGTATATAAGTGCCCCATCTTCTTTATCCATTCCTCTGCTGATGGGCATTTAGGTTGTTTTCATGTCTTGGCTATTGTGAATAGTGCTTTGAACATTGGGGTGCATGTACCTTTTCAAATTAGAGTTTTGTCTGGGTATATGCCCAGGAGTGGATTGCTGGGTCATATGGTAGTTCTATTTTTAGTTTTTCAAGGACCCTCCATACTGTTCTCCATAGTGGCTGTACCAATTTACATTCCCACCAACAGTGTAGGAGGGTTCCCTTCTCTCCACACCCTCTCCAGAATTTGTAGACTTTTTAATGATGACCATTCTGACCAGTGTGAGGTGGTACCTTATTGTAGTTTTTATTTGCATTTCTATAATAACTAGCGACGACGTTGAGCACCTTTCCATGTGCCTGTTGGCCATCTCTATGTCTTGTTTGGAGAAATGTCTATTTAGGTCTTCTGCCCATTATTCAGTTGGGTTTTTTTGTTGTTGCTGAGTTGTATGAGCTGCTTATTTTGGAAATTAAACCCTTGTCCATCACATCATTTGCGAATATTTTCTCCCATTCTGTAGGTTGTCTGTTTTATGGTTTCCTTTGCTGTACAGAAGTCTGCGCATTTGATTAGGTCCCATTTGTTTACTTTTGCTTTTATTTCTATTGCTTTGGGAGACTGACCTAAGATAACACTGGTATGATTTATGTCAGAGAATGTTTAGACTTTTTAAAAATAAGTGAAGGCCAACAGGTAGGCTTAACAGTCCCCAACTTCCAACTTACCAGCTAAATTCCTGGGCTACTCACTCTTCCCATGAAGCATTCTTTTATTTACCTGTGCATCAGCAGTTTTCTCTTCAAAAATTTGTAATAACTAAATTCATCTTTAAAATATATTTCAAAATCCTGTCCCTAAATAACCAATGAGCAGTCAAATGAAATTCTACCTGTTCATTGAATGTTTGTTATATTTTCTCTTCTTCCAGCTAGTTTTGGAATGCTTTTTCCTTTTATCAGAAATGCCTGGCTCGAGAACAGGGCTTGGCAAACTATTGCCAATGGGCCAAATCCAGCCTACTGCCTGCTTTTATAAAGTTTTAAAACAACACAGCCATGCCCATGTTTGCATATGGCCTTGCCCATTAGTTTCCATACTGTCTGTGGCTGCTTTTGCACCATAATGGCAGAGCTGAACAGTTCCAAGAGAGGTCTGCAAAGCCGAAAATATTTACTGTCTAGCCCTGAAAAAGTTGCTGACTCGTGAATTACCACGATAGTTCCAGAAGAGACATTGGCTCAACAGAAAAAAATATAAATTACTATCCCTGGATGAAAAATGTTGTCTGCCATATCAGTAAGCAAAGGATATTGCACCCATCAAGCCATCAGCCACCTGCCACTGTGCACCCTGAGGGGATTCAGGATGGAGAAAAGTAGGACACTGGCCCTAGACAGTTAAAATGCATATCAAAGGAATGATTTCAATTAGCCTAGACTCTTGACTCTTCCTATACAGAGAAATGCACTAAATTCATTAACTTGAGATGTTTGGTTTTAACAGTAATCTTTTGATGTTCCAGACTACCTGGTCTTTGTTGCAAAAACTCTTATATATCCTGGCTCCTCCCTTACCTCTGCGGACCAGTCCCTCAGAACAATCTGAGAGGCTGTCTTCTGGGCTTAAGTAAGTTAAGTTTTATTCAGCAGATTTTCTGATGACTTAATTCTCAACTTTTAGGCTGTGCAGTTTTCAGTCAACATGTCTTACAAAATAGAGCTGTCAAAGTCTTACAAAGGACTTACCTCTCCAGAGTGTAACTAGCCAGCTGTTAGTAATGCAGAAAGAACGAAGGGAGGAGGTCAGAGGAGGACCACAGGCAGATGAGGCAAGGCCTGGAAGGAGGCCCCACTGGCATGAGACCCAAAAGTCCTCTCCAGTAGCTCTGCCAGGAGAGGGCGTGTGAGGCTTCCCAAACATCAGACTGTTTCCCCTTTCCTAGCTCACTCTCTTATTGTGATACAGTGAAAGCTGTTTAGTTTCTAGCTACCTCTGATGAGGGGGCTGTATGAATATAAATGACTATAGCAATGTTTCAGATTTAAGACTTTTATTTTTTCACACCCAAGCAAGCCTGGGCCGTTGACCCTTCCTGCCCCCAAGCCCCCTACCCTTCACAATGAGAAGAAATGTTTACTTTCACTCCATGGCTCGGGGAATACCTAAGCTTTGGCAGTGGCCTTGTAATGGGTCAGAGTGCGGGCGGAAGGGTCAGTGGCACTAGTCCACTTGGGCATCCAGTAATGAGGCAGCCAGTCGGCGCGGCCCGGGTAGTGGCGTTCAAAGATCTGACGGTAGTAATAGCCTTCTTTCGTTTTGGGAGTATTGACGGCAAATTTTTGGGCTGCGCTTGCCATCACTGCGTCATCAACCTGCAAGAATAACAAGATAGAAGTGAAATGGTTTTTTAACCGTCATGGAAATACTTGTATTTAATCTGGCTTCACAAAAACAGAAAACAAACAAAAAGAGAAAAGGCATGAATGTATATTGTGTGAGAGACTCTTTGGATCACTTAGAAAATGCTAAAATACCCTAATATACATAGCTGCAGTGACCTTTAAGGTACATTCACATGCATACTTCTAAATGGTGGCTCTAAGTGTTTGATTCATTTGTGCCTAATAACATCTGGCACCCAACAGGTGCCCAAAAATGTGTAAGATGAAAGCCAGGGGACTTCCCTGGTGGCGCAGTGGTTAAGAATCCACCTGCCAACGCAGGGCACACGGGTTCAAGCCCTGGTCCGGGAAGATCCCACATGCCGCGGAGCAACTAAGCCAGTGCACCACTACTACCGAGCCCACACTCTAGAGCCCATGTACCACAACTACTGAGCCCGCGTGCTGCAACTGAAGTCTGCATGCCTAGAGCCCGTGCTCTGCAACGAGAGAAGCCACCGCAATGAGAAGCCCACGCACCGCAATGAAGAATAGTCCCCACTTGCCACAACTAGAGAAAGCCCACGCGCAGCCACAAAGACCCAATGCAGCCAAAAATAAATAAAATAGGTAAATTAAAAAAAAAAAAAAGTCAGTGATGACTGGTAAGTCTCCTCTCTCTATTCTAGATGCCACTTTATTCTTACAGAATTCTTTAAAAGAAGTATTGTTTACAGGGCATCTCTCCTGCAGACACAAACATTTAAATTAAATACAAAATGAACAGTGATTACTACTCTGCATCCAAATTATCCTATTCCAGAAAATACTTTTAAAGACATGATACCTGATGATCAATGTATTCCTGTAAAATCCTAAACCAGGAATTCTTAACTGAGGTTATTCCATCACTGAAGGCTTCTTTTGGTCGCCAGAGAATCTCTTTAGGTATCAGATTGGAGTCCTCAAAGGTCTCTCTCAGAAGATGTTTTTCTATCCCGTTCTGACATGAAAACAAAAGGAGTGTCAGTGAAAGTTCTAAATATAACCAGTATCAATGGTTTTTTGACAGTTTTTATCTTGATTCACCCACCTTGGGGATTCTCATATTTGGTGGCAGAGACATGTAATAGGAAGAAAATCGATGATCCAGGAAGGGGACTCTCAGTTCAAGGCTTAAAAAGGAAAAGAAGAAAATCTAAATCAAAATGGATATTTAGTGCCTGTCTGTTTAGATTCAAACTTAGTTTCCTAGGAATTCACTTAGCCTCTAAGTAATGTTAACATTATAAAGTCATTTTTATAATCCTAAGTAACTGCCCTACGCTAATTCATGAATACAAAAACCTTCATTCAGAGTACATATTACATCATCTAGGGAGTGAAACAAACTACTGGAGAATAATTACTTTTACTTTCCCTTCTGTAAACTATTAAATATCTCAAAAATCAGAAAAAGAATGAGTGATCTGATCATTAAGAACATACTTTGCCTGGACTTTTCTGACTCACAGTTTTTTCTAGGTGAGACCATCTCTCATCCTATTAAAAACTGTAATGCTAATCTGCGGTTATTACCCTATCTGCTTGTCCTATCCAGAGTCCCCAGGATTCAAGAAACAGATGATGTGGCCTTTGATGAAACACTGTGGAACGCTGGTTTATACTGAATGTAAGTTATTCATCAGTTAGTAGTAAAACTGTTTGAATTCAGTTCATTCCCCAACCTCATATTATTTTCTAATCTAAGTGTGATTTGGTAGAAGCAACTAAAAAAGTTGATATTGGTTGTTTATCACGTACAGTAAGAGTCTTCAATTCTCCAACAAGACCGGCTTTAAAAAGTGAAAACTTTAGCCAACTTTAAGCTAATCAAATCTCTTGCATCTTCGCTTCCCTCTCCCCACACATGGTCCCCACAGCATCAAACTGGCATGGCAGGCGCTCAACGCTCGCAACATGAAGGTGTATAATCTTTACTTGTCTTAAAAAAAACTAAAAAAAAAAGCTGCAAGTGCCTTCCATCTCAGTTGCCCAGAAGTGGGCAAGATGTTGTGCTTTCAAGATGGGAACTCCATCTCAAACCGCCTATCCATGTCCTCTCACCATGGCAACAGCACTCTGATTCAGCCTAATCCCTTTGCACTAACAGACAAGCTTCATTTTCTCTACAGAAGGCATACTCTGCAACATATACTAACTGGAAAGAAAGAAATTGACGACTGAGCCTTTTGTTTTTTGAGGTTATTTTTACAGTCGCTTCCTAAAATACCACATTTACCCATGGGCAGCAGTAGTTCGATCTGCTCGGAGAACATCAAACAAATACAGTTCCTTCAGAAGCCGCTCACTTTCCTCCTCGGCCTTCTCAGGGGAAGGAGCCTATTTTGCAAACAGAGCTGAAGTTACAAATACACCCACAAGCTTTGCTTCTGGCACAGGAAACCGTTTTTATATCTTACTCGTACACGTAACTCCAATTCTAAAGGTGGGTAAGACAAAAAGCCAAACAGAGCTTAGGGAAGGGAGTAAATGCTTGATAAAACGTACCTTCCCTCACACCAAGACTGCCAGTGCCAGAACAAACAAAATGACATGCTGTACGACAGCCATAGGACCATAGGAGACTAAGAACAGAAACATCATTCTTAGGCTTAACTAGTTCAAAAAAAGATATTATCTGACACTATTAAGACTTCTTTCTCCCCCGCAAAATACAGACACTATCAGATTTCCTAATATGCCTCACAAGATATTCAAAGTGTTACTGTTATACCAAAAAAGAAGATAGAAAATAGGTAAATAATAATTCATACTTTTCTTCCCCTAGGATCAATATCCCTCCATTTGAGAATGCTTACCTTGTGAAAATATATGTAACCCTGTGTAAGTTCATCTGAACCTTCTCCAGAGAAGATCACTATGCTATCCGTGTTCTTCCGAATGTACTTTGAAATTAAGTACATACCTTAAAAAAGAGACAGAAATTATTAATGTCCACATAACCCTCTACCAAAAATGCCTTTTATTTGATTTCTGGAAATGACTGCAAGCTTTGCTATCACACTAGACTCTCTGTTAATATAAAGTAGTTCGCAAAAGAATGACCTTTTATCTACAATATCTTTATATGGTACCTATCTTTTTATGTACGTAATCCAAAAGTCGTACTGTTGTGATGAAACACCCCAAAACCCTTCCACAATTTGATATATAGGTTTTAAAATGTTACTGCTTTCAGACCAAGAATGTCTATCTGAAGATTTTGCTAAACAATGTTAAAAATGCTAAAAATTTTTGCTGAACAATGACTCACATATCTTAAATGTGATAACTTTCACACCAGTATCACTATAAAAAAATGAAAAGTTAGGGCTTTAGTAGCTTAATTTTTATTCGGGGCTTTTTTTCTGATACTTACTCCCCATTCAGCATATGTCAAATACAGTTAAGAATACTGCATCATTAAAAGATGCTGGTTGGGGCTTCCCTGGTGGCGTAGCGGTTGAGAGTCCGCCTGCCGAGGCAGGGGACATGGGTTCGTGCCCTGGTCCGGGAAGATCCCACATGCTGCGGAGCGGCTGGGCCCGTGAGCCATGGCTGCTGAGCCTGCGCGTCTGGAGCCTGTGCTCCCGCAACGGGAGAGGCCACAACAGTGAGAGGCCCGCGGTCGGTCCCTGCTCCACATCCCTGTAAACCAGTATCTGTTCTTAACTGTTTTTTCATAATCACCTCCCTAGGGATACTTTTTAGACCTTTTTCCCTAATCTCCTTCACCAATGAAATATCAGTACCAGAAATACCGTATTTCTGTTGAGGTACCGTGGCCCTTTGGAAGGCCAGAAACCACTGTAATACCTAAGATTGTTTTGCCCTTCAAGAACAAATTTTTGCTTCCTTGGGAGAGACAGCACCTCTGTACTATTACTGCAAAGTTTAGACCATGAGGATGCAGACCCTGAACTTTGCAATGGAGTCATGTCAGATTCTGCATCCCTTAAGAGAGGCATATCTAAGCCAGTAGCACATTAGAGGCTCAGCAAAATTAGATCAGTCTGATTGGGAGTATGCTTCTAATCTCAGTGTGTATCCACAGGGTAAAACTAGTATTTTTTGCTGCACAATATGTTATTGATTGATAAGTCGTATGATGGAATATTTACCAAAATATATCTAAAACGAGCATTCCTTACAGAAATTAGTTACAACGTAGACCTATTTCCCTATACAGCACAAGAAGCTTTTATACTGAGAAACTGGGGGAAAGGTGGTGCAAAAAATATGTATCTACTTTTTGGAGAAATATAAATAGTGATACCATAAATGTGGAAGTTTAACTATGTATTTATTGTTCCTCTCCAAAAAAGATTTCAGGAATTCTTAAATGGCCTTGTCTTCAACAATTGCTGACACAGGAATTTTACCTGTGTTCATGCTTGAGTACTGTTTTTTAAACAACTGCTTGAAACAGGATTGTTTAATCCTTACACCTTTTCAGTATTAAAAATCTTTTGGGGATCATAAAATACCTTACCTACTGAAGCACGGACTGTTGTAATATCATAAGTTTCCAAGGAAAATATGACTTCATCCAGGACCTGAATGCCTTCCTCAGAGTTAAAGAGGACTTCATGGTGTTCGCTCCCAATATGATTTGCCACCTGATTATACAAAGAAATACCCACAGGCTTGTGTTTTAAAGGACTACTCTTGAAAATGAAGCAGGACTGTAGTTCACAACACATTATGAATTAACAAGGGTGTTAAACAAACAGGACAAACTAAGCAGAAATGATTCCGGAGGCCACCACAATAAGGGGAAATGATTCTCTAGGCCACTGCATATGAGCCCCACCTAGTCAGGCTCCCTTGCCTCCCCCAGTGTCTGCCCTCCACTGACCACCGAGAGGTAGAGCTCCCAGCCACTCTTCCCACTCCAAGACTTCACCCTAACAAGCATGCCCCCCACTCCCCCTCACACTGATTTTACATCCTTTTGGCCCTACTGCAATGCCTAATTTTACATCCAGGATGTTATTCCTAAATTAAACAGCCCCTCTCCTCATTCTGTTTCCTTTGGCTATTGTGGATTCATTTAGCATTGGTCAGCTTGCTTTGGGACCACCTGCTTGCTCCTTCTTATCCATTCTATGCAAGTTTCTCCAAAGTGGGAATGAGGTCTCCCACACACTGAATGTGTACAAGGTCCCCTTTGCCCACAGCCCTAAACACAGTACTTTATAAAAAAAAAAGAAAAGAAAAGTAAAAAGAATAGCTAACATTCTCTAAGTACTCAGTACACGCTAGGTTCTATCCTACACACTTATATTAAGTATTATGTAATTTTCAGCTCAAAACTATCCCATGGTAGATACTATTACTTCCCTTGCGTAAGTGAGGAATTGTGTGGTAGAAGTAGGATTTGAAACCAGCAGTCAGGGTCTAACATCTGCAGCCTGAACCACTATACCATGCCCTAACTCTCAAAAGGGCGGAATTATCATAGGGTCTTTGTGAGGACTGCATGGGTCGTGATAGATAAAAGTGCCGAGAGGGGCTTCCCTGGTGGCGCAGTGGTTGAGAGTCCGCCTGCTGATGCAGGGGACGCGGGTTCGTGCCCTGGTCCGGGAAGATCCCACATGCCGCGGAGCGGCTGGGCCAGTGGGCCATGGCCGCTGAGCCTGCGCGTCTGGAGCCTGTGCTCTGCAACGGGAGAGGCCACAACAGTGAGAGGCCCGTGTACCACAAAAAAAAAAAAAAAGTGCCCAGAATACAGTGTACAACATAGTTGATATTCAACAGGCATTTCATTCCATTTTAATATATTTAATTCAAAACAATTACCTAAATCAATGCAGCAGCAAAGTATAGAACCATCAATTACTAACAAGTCTGTCTTAACTACATAACAGGCAAAGACAGTGTCTTACCTTTCTAGCAGCTAGTAAATCGGGACTGTCTTCCATGCCAATCGCAAATGTCTGGAGAGGATACTGTACTTGGGCCTCTTTTAGCTGCTTCAACAGGATGGCAGCAACCAAACTGGAATCCAAGCCACCTATGAGCAAGACAGCAAGTGTAGTGGTTATGGGTCTTACATAAGAGAGGGACAGGTACGATTTACATTCCTATTAAGCACTAAGATTAGAGTTTTACCATTAAAAATCCCCAAGTTTTATAAATTGAAAATCAACTTGAATAAGAAAAATCTAACATTCAACCTGTGATAATGGTAACAGTATTTGAATTGGTTAAAAACCACTACACACATTCTAGGACTCGAATCAAGATGGTGGAGTAGGAGGACAAGGAACATTCTAAAGAATGTTTACTAGCTCACTCGTACCAATATAATTATAGTATCACTTTAATTTGCTACATTATTATTAAAATATTGAAAGCAACTTACAGAAAACTTTTTCATTCTATAATGGAGGAAAGATTAAATCATATAATAAGTATTTTATAGTCAAAACCTCCAGGATAGCTATAAATCATTTAACTTAAATATGCACTAAATACAATTAGGTTTTTAAACTGACTTCACCTGATAAAAGGCAGCCAATCCTTCTGTCCGTCATCAAACGTTTCTTAATGGCATTGTCAAAAAGGATTCGGATGTTGTTCTTCACAGTTTCTATCTCAAAACCTATTAACACATAAAGGAAATTAAATAGCTGCAGAAAAGCCTGGGCTGAATTATTTACTGAAATGGGTACACAATCATCTACCTCTATCGTGATGGCATTTGCTCAACAGTGAAGTTGGCCAAATTGCAATGTGTCACCTCCAAATTAAAAAGGAAACAGATTTTCGAACTTAACATCATTCCAGTGATGTGAGAGTACGGTTTTCCTTTTGGGGAGAGAGGTGGGGAACAGGTGGATAGGCTTCTGCTTTCTTACCTGGGAAGAGTTTCTCCACGCTGTCATACAGGGCATGCAGAGGCTCATCTCTACAGTGATGATATTTAACCATTTCCACCGATGCTACTTTGCCATTTGGCTTTAAATCCAAAACTTCATAGTGTCCTGGGAGAAAAGGCTCCACTTTTAAAAAAGGAGTCATGGAGTGCTTCAAGTTAATGAGACCTACATATTCAAAAAGATAAATGTATTCAAATGAGGATAATACGTCACAGTAACTTTCATGATTAGTTAGTATCCTCTAACTTCCTATTTATCTTCCCTCTTTAATACGTGTCCATTACATAAGCAAAACTGGAAAAATATAATCACTCAAAACCCTATCATCTACTTACTAGAAAGGTAATAGTAGTACAGAGATGCACAGCAAAATTACACTGGTTTTTAGTAATTCAAGGCAATAGGAAAATCTTCAGTGTTCAATTTCTTCTCCCTAGCTGGAATTTCTGATTTTAAAAAATCTATTTTCTTCACTAAAGCAAACAAATACAAGAAAAGATACATTTATTAAGCAAAGAGAATGACTTGAAACTTAATTTTATGATATCCTGGTAGTCACATGTCATCACTGAGGTATCTTAAGAAAATTGCTGTGGCTCCCAGTCCATTTAACAAGCAAAATGATCCACCATTACGTACTTTAAACTCAGATATTAAGAAGTCAGACATCTATCCCTTATGTAGCTATTATATACTGTGTGTGAGTTAAACATTATAATTTAAATTCCCTCAATAAGTTCTCACAGGAAGTAACCAACTTGACTTCACCATGATCTGTGATTAAAAAAGAAAAATCAGGGGCTTCCCTGGTGGTGCAGTGGTTGAGAGTCCGCCTGCTGATGCAAGGGACACGGGTTCGTGCCCCGGTCTGGAAAGATTCCACATGCCGTGGAGCGGCTGGGCCCGTGAGCCATGGCCACTGAGCCTGCGAGTCCGGAGCCTGTGCTCCACAATGGGAGAGGCCACAACAGTGAGAGGCCCGCATACCGCAAAAAAAAAGAAAAGAAAAGAAAAGAAAAATCAGTGGTTTATTATAAACAGTAAGCCTATCTACACAGAATACTTATTATGATTTATAATTTGAGTTTGTTGACCCAGGAATCTACTGTGTAGTGTGGAATTCAAACAGCAGACAAGCCCCAGATCCTATCACCAGCTAGCAGACCTCAAGCTAGCCACACAGCTCCTGTAGGGGGAGAAGCAGTTACAAGATTTTAAGCAGGGAGCACCATGACCAAATGAGTTTTTTTTTTGTTTTTTTTTTTGTGGTGCGCAGGCCTCTCACTGCTGTGGCCTCTCCCATTGCGGAGCACAGGCTCTGGACGCGCAGGCCCAGCAGCCATGGCTCACGGGCCCAGCCGCTCCACGGCATATGGGACCCTCCCAGACCGGGGCACGAACCCGCGTCCCCTGCATCAGCAGGCGGACTCTCAACCACTGCGCCACCAGGGAAGACCCTCAAATGAGTTTTTGATAGGCTATTCTAAAAGCACTGAGGAAGGAAAACTGTTGCAGTATTCTAGATGAGATCATGTTGTTTAGAAAAGGGCAGTGTTAAGGATGTAAAAAAATCACAAGAAATTTCAGAGGGTAAATTGGACATGAGACCGTAATTCCATATCAAGGTTTTGGAGACAGTGGAAGTATGGAGTCTGCTTTTCCCTTGTGATCTCTTTGCTGGGCTTCGCTAACAGCACTTTAGGTAAATAACATATATACTTCTTTACCATACGATCACAGTAAGTGATTTAAGCAATGAGGCAAAAAGGCAGACAGGCAGGTAGACCAGATTTTAGGATGTCATTCTATCTAGCTAGGAGATAAAAGATGAATGCTTTCCTCAACTTTGTCAAAAAATGCTAAATATGACTTATAAGTATTTTATTCCATTCTGTGGGTTGTCTCTTCACTTTCTTGATGATGTCCTTTGAAGTACAAGAATGTTTAATTCTGATGAAATCCAATTTATTTTTTTGTTGCTTTTGCTTTCGGGGTCATATCTAAGAAATCTTTGCAAAATCCAAGGTCATGAAGATTTAGCCATATATTTTCTTCTAAGAGATCTATAGTTTTAGTGTTTACATTTAGGAGTTTGACCCACTTTAATTTTTATGTATAGTGTGAGGTAAAGGTTTAATAACTTCATTTTTTTGCATGTGTGTGTCCAGTTGTCCCAGCACCATTTGTTGAAAAGACTGTTCTTTGCCCATTGAATGGTCTTGGAACCCTTGATGAAAATCTGTTGACTGCAGATGTATGGATTCACTTCTGGACTCTTAGTTCTATTCCACTGGTCTATATGTCTGTCCTGCCAGTACCACACTGTCCTGATTACCGTTATTTTGTAGTACGTTTTGAAGTCAGGAAGTGAGAATCCTCTTACTTTATTCTTTCTCAAGATTGTTTTGGCTATTGTGAGTCCTTTGCCATTCCCTATGAATTTCAGAGTCAGCTTGTCAATTTTTACGAAGAAGTCACCTGGGATTCTGACAGAGGTCATGCTGAATCTGTAGATCCACTGGGGGAGTCTGTGCCAACTTAACAATGTTAAGTCTTCGATCCATGATCATTGTATGCTTTCCAATTTATTTAGATCTTCTTTCATTTCTTTCAACAATGTTTATAGTTTTCAGCATACAGTTTTGCACTGCTTTTGTTAGATTTATTCTCAAGTATTTTATTCTTTTTGATGCTATTTGTAAACATAGAGTAAACCACGTGACCCAGCAAGTCCACTCCTAGGTATACACCGAAGAGAAATGAAAACACAAAACTTGTACACAAATATGTAGAGAAGCATTATTCATAAGAGCCAGTTGTCCATCACCTGACAAAAGGATTAAGAGTGGATAAACAGGATGTGGTATATCCATGTAATGGAATATCTTTTGGCCATAAAAAGTAAATACTGATACATGTTACAACATAGACAGACCTCGGAAACATTATGCCAAGTGACAGAAGCCAGTAACAAAAGACCACATGTGATATGACTCCATTCATATGGAATGCCCAGAATAGGGAAATCCACATAGACTGAAAGCAGACTGGCAGTTGGCTGGGACTGGGGGGAGAGGGGGTAGAGGAGGTAGTTGGGGACAGGAAGTTTAATGGCTGATGGATATGGAGTGATGGGGAGTGACAGCTCAAGAGTACAAGGTTTATTTTTATTTTTTTGGCCGCATTGCAAGACTTGTGGGATCTCAGTTCCCCTGACCGGGAATCGAACCGGGGCCCTCAGCAGTGAAGGCACAGAGTCCTAACCACTGGACCGCCAGGGATTTCCCTACGGGGTTTATTTTTGAGGTGATAAAAAATTTCTAAAATTGACCGAAGCATTGGTTGCATATATCTATGAACGTACTAAAAACCACTGAACTGTACACTTTAAACGGAAGAATTGTATGGCATGTAAATTATACACCAATAAAGCTGTTTAAAAAATGCTAAATTAAAATGAGTCTGTGTGATAGCTATGGCACAGTACCACAGTAAAATAACTGCAGGGCCGGCCAACCCTACCATTACAATGTGGCATAGGAAAACTTGAAAATACATATGGGATCAGACCAGACGCAGAGCCTATCAGCACGACAAAAATTAAATGACTTTACTACAGATTTATCCTCTAAGGTTTAGAGAATTTAAGTGCTAAAAGGAGCGTCCAACTCCTTGGCTTTATAAAGAAAAGCTCAGAAAGTCCATGACTCACATAGTCACTTATAAAAAATCTGGGTTGCCCCATTTGTAAATATGCATTGGATTAGATTTATAAGTATTATTTAAAAGAAAACATAGAATCAGGACAATAATGAAAATCTACAGTAAAATTCTATCATTACCTTTAGCTTCTGAACACACGGCCAAAAATCCATCTTCTGTCACGGCTTTAAACAAAGGTCTGACTCCATAGGTATCTCTGCCCAAGAATACTTTCTTGTTGGCAGTATCCAGTAAAATAAATGCAAATACCCCATCCAACATACAAACTGTTTGCTCAATTCCTCCTTTGTCATAAAGATGAAGGATTATCTCACCATCCACTTTGGTCTGGTATTCAAATTCAAAATGGTGTTGCAGCTTAAGGAAACAATAGCAAAACAAAAATGTTAGAATCCTTGTGCATTCACTAATTTTTTTTTTTTATTGCAAAGTTGCTTCAGTATTTTTGTGCTTTATAATTTCATGCACATTAGTGATTTAAAAGAATCATGGCATTATAAAAATATAGCCTGTTTGAACTCAGAATCATACAAATTCTTTATAACATAAAGCTAAGCCCGTGAAAAGTTTAGTTGCATTCTGATAACCAGAATACAGATGCAATGTACCCCTGTATTGCGTGGAGGGATGGAAATGTATATTGTATATATACTGTGTATGTAATACACGTGTATTTACATAAATATGTTAAGTTAAGCAAATAGATTGCCAGGTGTCATGGACACTAAGAATGTGTCTTTTTCAACTGTGAGATTTTGGTTTGGGAATATAGTATCAGCTGAGCTTCTTCAAGTTCAGCCTCACAGACTTCCTATGAAAATAGAAAGCGAAAGGACAAACACATTTGGCACTATTCCCTGACAAATAAATGATTCCATCACAATGGTGGAGACAAACGGTCCAACACGGAGCTGCTGGTCCTGGGGAGGACTATAGCATCCCGTCCTTCCACCACTGCAGAGGCATTAAAGCTACTTCTCAGTGATGGACAAAATGATGCTGGAGCTTTATTCATCCACATCCCCCAGTGGAACAGCAAAGAGACCATGATTCCCACTGCATGTAGAGGGGGTTCAATTAAGTTAGGCCCAAAGGCCGTGGCTCTCCTCACCAATGGCAAATTGTGAGGGTGAAAACTTCTTGGTATGTTCCTCTTTCTTTGTACTTACTCATATTTTTGGCTGATAATGGAGAGGAGGTTCACATAAACAAAATCAAGTTGAAATGCTGGGTACATATGAACATTTAAAACATGTTTTTAAATTTCAAAAAGTAAGTCTCTGTGTTTATATGTGTATGACCTGTAAAGAGCATGCTTCACGACCATGCTCACTCTATAAATTTGTGAACCTTTTGTCTATAAGCACGGAACTGTCCCAAAATGGGCTTTGGCCGCTTCCAACAACTACAAAGCCACCTCCTGGTCACCTCTCCTTCCTCTGAGAGACTGTCAGCGATGATCTCTGTCACTAGGAGGCAGTGTTTGGAAGGGGTCTTCTGCTGACCCTTCTGGGCTTAAGTACCTGCAGGATAAATGAGTCTAAAGCATTCGATGATTTCAGCAAACAGCTTCCAAATCAATACTCTCCACCACCACATCATCATCATGGCTCTTGGGCCTAAAGCTTACAGGTAACTTACTGGTTAATGATTCACGGGTATACTTCCCACCCTCCTGAAGCCACACTTAGCTTAAAGCCCCCATATTCTGCCATCACACAGAAATCACACTGCCATTTGACTTGCTGGCTGTAGGCCTCTGAGGCCCCCTGCAGGGAGGGGGCCTCCTCTTTGCCCAACCTTCAGTCGTATTCCTCCTTTCCTTGACCAGTCTCCCTCCACTCCCAACTGCTGGCTGGATTTTAGTAGTAAATTCTATTTTCACCAAAAAAGGGGGACCTTTGAAGCTTATGTTGCAGAATTCTTTATAGAAGCCTGAAATGTCAATTCTACTCTTTAGACAGATTTTAGATGCTCACACTAGATAACCTGAATGACTGGCAGAAGCAATGGAACTTCTCTGCTTCTGAAAATACAACATATTTGGCTAATTTAGAAAAGAAATATTTTCAAAATATTTAACTATTTAACAAAATACACAAAAGCAGCTATGTTGTTCAAGTAAAACATGGCATTTCCTACCTCATTTAAGGTGAAAGTCAGGCTACTACTGCCATAATACCAACTTAGCATTCTCACATATATGGTACCAACTTGGCTTTATAAGGAAGTTTTAACTGCCCCCTCCTCTGTTCCCACTAACTTGAAACTCCCTTACCTTTCCTGTTCCATTTCACCTCCAAGCACCTATAAAAATGATGTCTGATGTATAGTAGGCCCTTATTAAATATATGAAAGGAATATGCTGAATAACTATAACGACTCTTCAAATGAAAAGCCTATTCTTGAGTGTTCCTATAAGCGGACAACAAACAAAGACTAAAACTATTATTCAGAGATAAAAATGGCCAGAGGGTGACTAGAATATAAATCCCTATTCATGAATGATAGGCATATATCAAGAAGTCTCAAAAAGTACCAAGAAAAATCACAACCAAATATATGACCCTTGAATGAAATGTGGCTGAAAACCAAAAAACAGCTATAAATATATTCGTGGAACACCTGGGAAATTTCAATATGAACTGGATATTATGGATTCTTAGGTATAATAATAGTATTGGTGTTAGGTAGAAGAATGCCCTTATTCTTAGCAGACAAATGCTTACATACTTAGGAGTAAAGTGTTACAATATCTGCAGTATACTCTAAAATGATTAAGCCCAAAATTGAATGTGTGTGTATACAGAGAGATAAAGCAAAAAAGGCAAAACATTAACAATTATTCCATCCAGATGCTCAATGTTCTATTCTTTTTTTGTAAAGTTGAAATTTTCAAAATTAAAAGTTGGGGTGGAGAGTGACAAAAAAATAACTTGCAAATTTTAGATTAAAAAATTTCTTATGAAACACCAGACAAACAACTGCAGATTGCAAGGCTCTTAGTAAATCTGGCTTCCTCGGGTTAGAATTTCCAAGCCTTCACTACTCTCATCCTAAGAGTATGCTTTCACCAGATTAAAAAGCTGTTCCAATTTTAGTGCTGCCGAAAGTCTTACTTCTTGCACTCCACTGCATCTGGCTACCTGTCTATCCTTTGCCTGATTAATTATGCAACAGCAACATCTTAAGGGCAGCATTAAATATAAGCTACAAATGTGATCACCCACAAACTATTAAATTCTATCCCTGCCTTAAAATCTTCAAATCTCATTGCTCTTAGAATTATATTCTACCTCCTTACCAAGTCCTCCTTGCTCTGGTCCTCCCCAATCCCGCCTGGCCCTTGTTCACTTATGACAATCCCAGGGTTCTAAGCATGGCTATTCCCTCTGCACAAAAATGCCCTTCCCAGCCCTGCTAGCTAATCCTTGTCCATTCAAGTCTGAGTTGAAGTGTTAATTCGTCAAGAGGCTTTCTCTGACCACCTATACTGAAACTGGATCTCCCATATCCATGAGCTCCATATTCATTTTTCAGAATGCCTAGTATATGTACAATGATTTTTTTTTGTCTGCTCCCTAATGGAATAAACTCCTCTAGCATGCAGACCTACCTCTCATATTTACTACTGTATCCCCAGTGCCTAACACAGCCTCTAATTAACATTCAAATCCATAACAGGAAAAAAAAAAGATTCTAAGAGTTAAAAACCTGAAATGTAATCCTTTTTTTTTTTTTGCGGTACTCGGGCCTCTCACTGTTGTGGCCTCTCCCGTTGCAGAGCACAGGCTCCGGACGCGCAGGCTCAGCGGCCATGGCTCACGGGCCCAGCTGCTCTGCAGCATGTGGGCCCTCCCCGGACTGGGGCACGAACCCGTGTCCCCCGCATCGGCAGGCAGACTCCCAACCACTGCGCCACCAGGGAAGCCCTGTAATCCTTTTTATCATTTTTTTTTTTTTTGTGACCAAGTCATTTCACCTCTTTGTGCATTGGTGCCCTGTCTCTCTATATACAATTGGAGCAAATGAGAATGAACATGGAAAGTGTTTGAAAGCAAAAAGCATTATACAAAATAAAACTATAACCAACTAGCTCTGAGGCTTAATCACATCCAGATAGCTTCTGGTTTTATTCTGTTTACCTTCTTGTGGTTGTAGATTTCACCGTTGTAACACAGCCACAAGTAAGGATATTTCTTTACTCGAATTGGCTGCATTCCAAACAGCTGGTCAACCACTGCCAACCGGTGAAATCCAAAGCAGCAGTTGGTATATCCATTGACATTCTCAAAACGAAATGCATCTGGACCTCTGTGTGCAATCTTCATAGCACTCAGACACTGAACAGAAAGGCAGTCGTCACTGCCAAAGAGGGCCCAAATGCCACACATGGTGCAATGGAGCTATGGGCTCTCTATGGAGGGAAAAACAGACAAATTAAATATTCAATATCCAATCCAAGTCTGTATTCAATCTTGATTCCCCAAACCTGCATAAGCCACTTCAAAGACTGAAATATAAATTATCTTATCTACAGCAATTTTCCAGTAGGTTGGCAGGCACACAGGGACAGAGAATGATTTAATTTACTTACAAGTATTCAGGAAAGATGGATGACCTTAACATCCAGCCAGCTATAGCAGTTTAGCCTCCAGTCAAAGGCTGCATCCCTCTCACATTAGGATTTGGTCAGCTAGAGCTAGCAGTGTTCAGGCCACATTCTGTTTTGTATCCTAGGTTTACACCCAAGATACAGATACACATACAGGCTGGCTCCATCCTTGCCAGAGATCCCATCCCCACTCTCTCCATCCCAGAATCCCAAAAGCCCTGAAAAATCCAAGAGATGCTCCAGATTACTACAGTCGCCTCTTGTGTCTCCTTGACAATTAAATGCCTCTTTATACCTGTACTAATAGATGTATAGTGGGTAGAAAAGATGATCATACATACTGCCTAAGTGTAACATTAAGATACACAGCTATTATAAACATTTCACTACTTCTAGCTTACCTCGAAGTGACTTATTCAAACACAATCAAAGAAATTCTAAAAAGAAAAGAGAAAGTAATATTATCTGATATCTTAGTTTAATAACAACAAAAAAATTTAAGTTGACAGAGATACAAAATGTTCACCATCAAAATGTCCTAAAAGACAAAAATGCTAAACATTTTTGTCTCAAAGCTACCTTGGTGAGTAAGAAAGCAAAGTAGGTGGGACATACACAGCAGTATCTCAGAAAAACAGTTTGGCTCTTTTCCCTGTAGGCCAAGAAGCAAATAAGTACTTCCTACAAATGTTAATTACTTTGCAATTCAAATTCAATTCTCAACTGTGAAATAAACAGCAGTTTTAGTTGAATGCTGTCAGCTCAAAACAGTTACTTTACCTAAATATCTATAACTTGCAAACTATTTTGGTATTTTTTTAAATGGAAATTTGCAGCAAATGCCTAGATAAAAGGCATCAAGAAAAAATATAAATATTCAAGTTACATCAATCACTTGGAACAATCCTCTGAAGATATTTCATTTGTATTTAAATGAACCAAAGCCTTATTTGGAGCTTTTGAGACCAGATCAAATTAATGGAAAATGGTATTAACTAAAACAACTCGGAAATGAAGTATCACAAGTCCTATGCAGCCCCTCCCATGCATTTGGCCAAAGAGCCCATAATCAGATACAGGAACATCTCTGAGATATTGTCAGTTTGGTTCCTGACCACCGCAATAAAGCAAGTCACAAGAATTTTTTGGTTTCCCAGTGCATATAAAAGTTATGTTTACACTATACTGTCGTCTATTAGGTGTGCAATAGCATGATGTCTAGCAATGTACATACTTTAATTAAAAAATACTTTATTGCTAAAATATGCTAACCATCATCTGAGTCTTCAGCAAGTAGTAATCTTTTTGCAGTGGAAACATCAAAGATCACTGATCACAGATCGCTAAAGTTTCAAATTACAAAAATGTGACAGACAGGAAGTGAGCAAATGAGCAAATGCTGTTGGAAAAATGACACCTATGCAGCGTTGTCACAAACCTTCAATTTGTTTTTTTTTAAAAAAAAGCAGTACCTGCAAAGCTAGGCACGCTTGGGTTTACTTCCAGATTTACTGGGAAAATTCACTGAGGTTTAAGTGAGGTGACTATTAATAAGCCATCTACCTTTGACTCTAGAAAAATGGGCCGGGAAAGTGCTCTGAAATCATGTGCGGTGATTAGTCAGTCTTTACCTAAGTCTTCCTAATGCTGCTTAGTGAATCCCATTAAGCATGCTACAGAAACACAGTAAGCACTACATTGGAGGGGAAACGGGCGACAAACGATTGCAAAGCACACTTATTTCTCCAGCAGGAAAAGCAAATTAAAACTATCACCTATTATTTTTATTGGAAACAGTCTTACTTGCAAACATTCTACTTGGCAACGCTTTTTCCTACTGCTGTTACCTGTTCCCAGTAATTTTCCATATTTCCTCATAAACATCTAGAGCAGTGCTGTCCAATTGAAATGTGAGCCACATGTGTAATGTTAAATATACTAGTAGCGCCATTAAAAGAGTAAAAAGACAAAAGCATAATAAAATTTTTTTTTAAAAGTAAAGAGAAAAAAGTGAAATTTCAAATAGATTTTAACACAATGTACTGAAAATAGTATTATGTCAACACGTAATCAGTACAAAAATATTAACAAGATATTTTACATTGCTTTTTTCTATTAAATCATCAACACTTTAAGCACATTTCAATTAGGATTAGCCAGCACTTCACATTCTCAATAGTCAAATGTGGCTAGTGGTTACTGAATTGGACAGTGTTGTTTCAGAGCACTTAATTTCTTAAACCAATACTTAAAAACAAAGTGATATGGTGAAGTTTAAGATTTCAGCAACTAACTCCTGCACGGATTCAACACCTAAATTACTTTTTTTTTTTTAATAGATCTTTACTGGAGTATAATTGCTTCACAATACTGTGTTAGTTTCTGTTGCACAACAAAGCGAATCAGCCATGTGCATATACATGTCCCCATATCCCCTCCCTCTTGAGCCTCCCTCCCATCCTCCCAATCCCACCCCTCTAGGTCATCGCAAAGCACCGGGCTGACTTCCCTAAGCTATGCTGCGGCTTCCCACCAGCCAACTATTTTACATTCCGTAGTGTATATGTCGATGCTACTCTCACTTCGCCACATCTTTGCCCTCCCACCCCATGTCCTCCAGTCCATTTTTTATGTCTACCTCTACTATTTACCATAGCCAGGACGTGGAACCAACCTAAATGTCCATCGACAGATGAATGGATAAAGATGTGGCACATAGATACAATGGAATACTACTAAGCCATAAATTACTTTTAATTAATCTTATAATAATGAGATCAATCAATGAAAAAGTTGAGTTACCCGTGCTTTTAAATTATTTATCAAGCACCCCGGGCAACAGATGGTAAAGAAATAATGTAGGCCACAGGCTGAGGAAAAACACTGTCCCTTCATTAAAATGATATTAATCTGAAACTGGCCCTATAAAATAGATATCCATTGAGAAAAGGCATGCCCGTTTCTTTTGCCTTTTCCCATACCGCGCCGCCTGTCGTGCCCAGATCTCTTCTGGGCAGAATTTGCTCAGCAAGTCACTTGTTGAGTCTTGCAGTCTACACAGATGGGGGGGAGGGGTAACTAGGTGAAGGGGGGAGGGGTAACTAGGTGAAGGGGTGGAGGTTGCCGGAGGTGAGGGGGTATCCTCCGAGGCCTTAACAGACAGCCCTGCAGGCCCTCCTTCTCGGACCAGGACCTAGCGACCGCGTCTACCCATGACTCGCGACTGCACTCGGGCCGCGTGCATCCTCCAGCCCATCCGAGCGGGTCCCCTGAAATGCGAAAACTTCCGCAGGCTTCGACACAATATAACACAAAATAATGAAATTTAAAATTGCCAACTTAAACCGCCGCCGCCTTCTCTCCAAAGCGGCAGGGCCTTGGCTCTGCGGGTCACTAGGTCCCCCTCCGAGACCACAGCGGAGGTCTTCCCAGGGGCGCAACAATCGGCCCCGCCCCCTTTGCTCCGCAGCAGCAGCAGACGCCGGGATCCGCGTCTGCCCTCCCGTCGGGCGGGCCAGGCTGCCGCGCATCCTCCTCCCTCTCCCGGGTCAGCCCCGCGGCACGCTGGGAGAGCGCCGCGACCCCCGGCTGCCCAGCCTACCTGGGCTCCAGCGGGGTGGGCGGGTGGGCTAGCAGGCGAGCGTGAGGTGAGCGGGCTGCGGCTGGCGGGCTGAGGACCTTCCCTCACCTCTCACTTTATAACCTTCTGGCTCCTGTAATGCGTGCGAGAAGTTTCATCACGTCTGGGAGGACCAACCAGCGCGCAGAGGCGTGGCCCGCAGGGCGTGAAGGCGCTAGCCGGGCCAGGACTGGATGCGGAGCGAGGGAGGCGGAGGAACTGCTCTGTTTCTTGCTTCTTAAAGTGTTAGTGCACCTGCTGAGGGAGAGCCTCAAAGGTCTGGCCAGGTGCCCCATTGACACCTAGGATTACCTTACCTGCTGTTCTGACAATTCATTAATCTTCCGCACTTGTTTTGTTCTTAGGGAAACCATCAGCAACTGATTGCCGTATCCCTTCTGCAGCAGATCTCCCTCATGTCTTTTAACTGTGAAGTCTTTAGAAGTGCTTTATCCTCCTTATTACTATGAGAGCATCTTAGCTGTGGATACGCATATATTTGCTAAATTAATAAATAGTGAGACAGATGGGAATAGCTGGATGGGTCTCCACCTTTAATTTTATTTCTTATTTATTTTTTGGGGCATGAAACTCCTACATCTTTATTTTTTTAACATATTTATTGGAGTATGATTGCTTTACAATGGTGTGTTAGTTTCTGCTTTACAACAAAGTGAATCAGCTATACGTATACATATATCCCCATATCCCCTCCCCCTTGTGTCTCCCTCCCACCCTCCCTATCCCACCCCTCTAGTCCACTTTTTATTAAATGCAAATTAGATTTCATAATGTTCTACCTCAGACACTCCTTCCTCTGGACTTACAGCACAGTGTAATTGTATTTTGTGATGGATCATCATCAGACTTCTGATGTGGCTGTACTGGCACTCAACCAGACGGTCACCTTGTTGATTGTGTCAACCTCTTCACCTTTTGGGTCTCAGGATCGGCTCAGTGGATTCATGTATTTAGTTCAATTCGATTACTCATTACATTTGGTCGTTGACAAATTTCACTTTCAGGAAAGGACTGAGTTCCATTCCAGTCTGAATTTTATGACTACTCATATAACCATGAGATATGTCCTATAACCTCTTTACATTTACATCTTTAAAATAAGCAAGTTAGGGACTTCCCTGGTGGCGCAGCTGTTAAGAATCTGCCTGCCAATGCAGGGGACACAGGTTTGAGCCCTGGTCCGGGAAGACCCCACATGCTGCGGAGAAACTAAGCCCGTGGGCCACAACTACTGAAGCCTACGCTCCTAGAGCCTGTGCTCCGCAATGAGAAGCCACCACAATGAGAAGCCCACTCAGTGCAACAAAAGAGTAGCCCCTGCTCGCCGCAATTAGAGAAAGCCCGCACGCAGCAACGAAGACCCAACACAGCCAAAAATAAATAAATAAATAAATAAATAAATTTAAAATAAATAAATAAATAAAATAAGCACGTTAGAGACTACTGGGGGTCCTTCCAGTCCTGAAATTTTAAGTACTAAAGTGATGAGAGCTCTGTAGAGCCATAGCACCCAAGGAGGGAAATTATTTTTTTTCATCCCCACAATATCAACTATCTCATCAAAACTCAAAATAGCATTGCAATCTGGATATTTTTACATGAGACCCAGTTAGAAGTATATTATCCATATTTACACACCTAATACTTGTGGATCCAGATGTGAAACCAGGTTTGTCTAGATCCACAGGCCATTTTCTTTTCATCACATTCTGCCTGTGGAATAGAATGACAAGAAGATCCGTGTTGTACTGGAGACACTGACAGAAAAGGGTTGATATAGCCTCTCTTATTTTTACAAAACATGAATGATCTCCATTCAGGACAAAATATATTTTCTTTTCCAGATTTCATCCCCATTCATATATTGGAGAATTACCCTTAAATTAGACTTTTTTTTCCTATTTATTGTCTGCACTGAGAGCTTGAAAGAGGAGACTCTCCATTTTAAAGGCACTGATGAACTGGTACCAGTACTGCCCTCAAATTTATTATGCAGAACTGGGTAAGCCATGTCCTCATTAAAAGATGTTTAAGGCCTAACGTTTCTTTATAAAATCTAAGTCACGTTGATACCTAAAACCAAAATATATCAGTGACTCCTAAACAGTTTTACAAAGATTCCTTTTAGAATTTTTTTTAAAAAGGTTTTTTTGACCTGTCCCCACAAGAAGACAGTGTGCTTTTAGTATCCCTTTGATAGAGAAAATATGCCAAGATAAAAATAAACAAGGCCCCATGACTTCAAAACACTCTAAAATAAATTTGTATTTTATTAGTCACATCAGCACCAAAATAAATTGAGAAATAGTAAAATTACATATGCAAGACATACTGAGATCAGACTATAGTTAATGCCTGTACAGGATACAGGTTTGATATCCTCATGTAATACATTCCCAACCAGTTCAGTAATTGCCAAGAATACAAATTCCCTAAGCACAGAGCATGCAGTGGACACTGAGTAGTTGCCAGACAAGAGCAAAGATGATAGAGGACTAAGTTCTAAGGTTCTTTATTGCCCTAAAGTTTTCAGCATCAAATAGACTTTGCTATGTCCTATTCTATATACTCTCTCAAACCTGAGGACAAGCTGGGAAAGTAGGTTTTCTACCCACATTTTACAAATGTAAAACTAAGACTCCGAAATTGAGGGATTTAGCCAAATACACACTGTTTGAATGAAATCATAAAGAATTGAATCATAATAGTATAAATCCCATTTCCCTTCCCACCCTGTCTAGGTAGTGGGAGATAGATACTTGATAGCCTAGCTGGTGTGGTTGGTGGTACTGGGTATCCTTCCCTTGTCCCTTCAGAGCCACTTTCAGGTTTGTGCCCTGGCTTCCCGGCCCTCCTCTTTCACTGGGAGTGGTCAAAGGGAGACCAGAGGGTGGGAGGGAGAAGTCTCAGGGCATTTCTTTTCCTGGCTCACCTACCACAAAGCTCCTCTCCTGTCAGCTGACCCTCTTTGTTCTTCCTTCTCTGCAGATTCCAGGAACTGCTTCCTCCTTAACCCTTTCAGGCCTAGCCCTAAGGTGCTGAGGGTTTCCTAAACCCTGCCCACGCTTCTCTCATTAGCCCTAATTGGAGTGTGCCATCTGCTTATCTGAACCTGACCCGACACATTGGTCTAAGATATAACTGAGTTTGTGGTGGATTAAACTAGAGTGGAAAACAATTCATATCCTCTCCTAATTATCCAACACAAATGAAAACTAAATTATGTTGGCCTATTTCCCCACATCTTACCTCACCCGTCCTGAAACCTCACTCTAAAAGCCACCTGGGAGCATTTAAAACTCTTTGAACTTAGTCCCTGAGGAATCAGAATAAAATCCTCCTCTGTCAAGTAAAACCTGTAGGCTAGTTCTCCATCCAAAAAATGTAATTGGCAACACAAGAATATATTTGTTAAGCCCTGAGAGCATTAATTAAAATCAAGTCTTTAAATTTCTTTTAAATATCAACTAAGCTGGGTTTTCTCAAATTTTTTTTGTAGGTGGATCTGTTTTCTAGAATTTAAAAAATATATAGTTGTTAGACAGTCACATGATGGTAGCTATTCTTGGGTATTCATCGACTAAGAAAAAGTACATTATAATGAAAAGCTTCATTGATGTTAATAACACCTTAAAATAAATACTTGTTGAGTTACTAAATGGTGAGCTGGAGTGGAATAAGTGAGAAGAGTACAGTGTTCTCCAGTCACTATAACAGATTTGATGAAGCTTTCTTTGTGGTCCTCAGGAAAATGAATCCTTCCTTCCTGTGGCTCCCACTTCACTTATAGCTGATGTTCCAGCCTTTTAATATTGGTAACTGTGTTGAGGTAGGAGTTTCCTACCTAGCTGTGAACTCCTAATAGTCCCATCAAAGCATGTTAACGATGCTAGGTTAGGAAACTAGAATACTGAGGTCTAGTCCCAGATACACCAATAGTTTATGATATGTCTCTTGATCTTCTTGGGTTTCCACATTTGTAAAATAATGGGGCTGAAATAAACTTTCGTGTTTCTTCTAGACTTACAATTCTAACCGTTGAAACTAAATAGATGTGAGCTATTTACAGCATTCCAATGTAAGAGTACAGATCAATGTGTTAATTTCTCATCTAAGAAACCCTTATATTTACATTGCAAATAAGATTTCCCCTCATTTAAAGCTAATTGAGAATCAGAGACAGGACAGGACTTAGGATCACACAGTCATCCAGGAGTATATCCAGGATCTGAGCTCAGATGGATCTGAATCCAGAGTCCCTTCTCCACCACCCACATGGCCTCTTATCTGGGAGACTGATCTTTCTAAGAGGATTGTCCTTTTTATTCCAGGACACAACTGAGATCCAGGTTGTGCTATATTAAAACACAGCATATTTCTAAGTATAATCTTTTTTCCAGTCTTCGCTTGCATTTTTTTTTTTCTTTTTTTTTTTTTGCGATACGCAGGCCTCTCACTGCTGTGGCCTCCCCCATTGTGGAGCACAGGCCCAGTGGCCATGGCTCATGGGCCCAGCCGCCCCGCGACACGCGGGATCCTCCCAGACCGGGGCACGAACCCGCATCCCCTGCATTGGCAGGCGGACTCTCAACCAGTGCGCCACCAGGGAAGCCCTCGCTTGCATTTTTTATTGGAAGCTAACAAAGGACCAGAGGCACTCTTAAACCTATTTTAACTGAGCTATTAAGAATGTAGAGTTCATCCTGTTCCTGTTTTGAAAAGACCCTGGTGTCAGTATCCTCATCTTCCCCCATTGCCACCTACCCATCCCCATTCTGTCACTGATACTTTACCAAAGTTTATTATGTAAAATTAATATGCCCTGTCTGCAGGGTCCACAACCAGAGAACAGCTCTAGCTGAGAATATTAGTTAAAACAAGAGTTTCACGTGAAAACTATTACTTGGTATGTAATAGTTATAAATAAGAATGTCTTTTTTAATGTCAAAAACATGAGCAGTCTCACATGACAATAGTTGTACATCAGTCTCCCACTG